TTTTTCCTTTTGTTTTGTTATGTTTTTGCTTGAAAATGTTTTGTCTTGCTAAAGGGTGACAAGGGACGACTGAAGTAATTACATAATATATGTTACTAGGGCACACGGTGTGTTGGGAATTTGAAAAAAATAGGGTGAACTTGTATTTTTTCATACTTGAAATGGCCGACAGTGGGCATGGGGGTGGGGGGGGGGTAACTTTATATATCGTAATGATAGCACATACTCTAAGATTACACACAATACAGCAATACAGTATGGATCGTTTTCGAAGTTGTAGCGCTGCTGTTGCTGCTGCTGCTTCTTTGGCTCTTGATTATGATAAGTATGTATCAAATCCCACAGTTTAATTCTTTGGCTCAATGTCACGTAAAGAAACAAAAAATCTGTTAGTATTGCTGTCTTGACTGACAGACAATGTCCGACAAAATCGGTTCGTGCCTTGACCTAAGGACATTGTGTGACAAAATCGCGTTTACTGTTGGAAAGACTCACCAATTCATCTGAGTTCAGGAGCGCCTTCAGTTAGATTCGAACGCTGACCTCCATTATCGAAGTCAAAGGTCAAATAAGAGAAAGATTCACCTAGTTTGACCAGTGCTGACAAAGAGTGTCCCATTGTATACTCTATCGATCAGTATGTGATCCGTTTGATTCTGACAAGTCTTTGAAAAAAATTTACCAAACATTCTGGCAGTACATTATTGCATCTCTCTCCATAAACAAAAAACTCAGGACAGAAAAGGTACAGTTCAAGACCAGACCAGAGCGTGGCGCTCACCTTGAATAAACGACTGAAGGTGTCACAATGAAGCATAAAACATAAACTGGGTCCGTAGGCCGCTATTAGCAAATTTCTGACTTTTCTCCATGTACGTCTGTTCTCTGAAGTCTACTTACGACGCTGTGGAATCAGGCGCTCGTCCGTTTTGGAGCATATGTAATTATTGGTACCATTTTAAAGCCTGTTCATTTGCTTTTCTTTTGGGGGAAAAATGGATTCAAAGGAAAAAGTAGCGGGGAAATTGCCGCTAAAGTTACGTTATTTCCTTAGCTGAGAAAATTTACATATTTTATGCTTTTAATCAATGTTTTTCCAGTAAAAATCAATACAGAAATGTTCTTTAATGTGCATGAAAGGTGTTGAGCCAAAAAAGAAAAATTCAATAAAAATTCCCAAACCTGCGGGAAAATGCCAGTTTCTTCACTTTCATTATTTTGACGAGCACCCGATTTCACCACGCTGCCTCACAATCTAATTATGTGAACGAGTGTGTTACCTCATTCGTTATAGATTCAGTCAAAGTCGTCAAATACGACCGACCACCCATTGTCGATGGAAAAGTGATTATCTTAGACAGGTGGGCGTCTTTGACAGTGCCATTATAATAAAGGAAAAAAGAACGCAAGTGGAGAGTGACAAGTCGCCGTTTGTAGTATAGGTTTTTGGACAGATGGCCGTTAGAAGAGGTACGGCTGTATATTGTTGTCACAGTCCACAACTGAATGTGCTTAAAGACGAGCGAGGGGCTCTAGCGGCTTAGTGATTAAGGTGTTCACGTTTCATTCAATAGGTCCAGGGTTCCAATCCGGATGGCGACGGAAATTTTTCTTCTCTAAAGTTTTCTCCTTTCACCTCCTTTCCTGCTCTCTAACAATGTTCTGTCACCTGCTTTCGTCTCCGCTTTCTGCCCCTACCCCTTCACCTCCTTTGCCCCCCTCTTCTGAGCTCCTGACTCTTTCTGCAGCCTTTCTACTGCTACTCCTTGGCTCCTTCTTTCTGCTGTCTTTCAGCCAAACCCCAGATCTTCTGGTAGGAAAGATCTACACCTAGCATTCTCGGACAACTCGAAAAATCTCGGAGGTCCCGAGTGCAAGTTGCGCACATTAAAGATTCCTTGGTGGTCCAAAAATCGATAAGAGTAAGCTTTAGACGCCACATGGGCAAAAATTCAAAATTTCCAACCAACTGAAAATGTTCAATGTGTCCTACCCGCTCATATGAACCTATGCAGTTGAGAGCGCCGTAAAATACTTACTAAAATCGAAAAACAAAAGACGAGCAATAATTGTACTAAGATGTTCCTTTGATCGTATGCTTAAGAGCGCACTGTATGTTCACCAGTATTTGAACTGTCACCATTCTCGTTCACAGATTTGCTGAACGCCATGTACCGAGTTGAGAGTGACAACAGCGTGGACGCCGATGAACCAATCATGAAGCACATGACAGAAGGGGGCGTGACAATTCTCAAGCAGATTGACAGGAAGAGAAGGGTACGTTATTGTCCTTTACTTTTGTTGAAAAGTTGATTTGGTTTTGTTTGTTTCTTTTTTTTTTTTTTTTTTTTTTTTT